ATATATATGTATATGTATATATACACATGCAAATATATGTCTTCTTAAATTGTCACATTCTTACTTTTTATTAAAGTTTTTATTATTAAAGTTTGCGTTCATGTGCACACACACACACATGTGAGGGTGCCAGAAGAAGGTGTTGGGGATTCCCCTGGAGCAGGAGTTGCAGGCAGTTGTGAGCCTTCTCCTGGGAACCAGGCTCCATGCTCTATGTAACAAAATGCCCTTTGAAATTGGCTTTCCACATTTCCCAGCATGCAGTGCAGCGCTGTGGCTGAGAGCTCACAGTTGACTCTGGATTTGCCCATTCTACAGATCTACAATCTACACCCTTTGAGTCATGGTCCCCCACTTCCTCTCACTCCACCCTAACGCTACCACAACCATTGTGTTCTCTGCCACATTCTTTCTTTTGCATATCCCACACCTAAGGGCTAGCCGCCAGTCTCTTTCTCTGCCTGTTTCCTTTGCCATGGTCATTCTCCCTTTCCTCTGAGGGATCCAAGAGGAATTTCCTGGCCAACTTATTTATCTTGAATTTGAATGTTAGAAATAGACAAAACTTGCTACCCTCAAGGCAAAAGTCAAACTCTTGCTCCAAAGGGAATTAAGAGATGGTTTCATCGTGATTCAGCCGTGAGTCACATGGCTTCGAGTTACCCTGGATGACAAGGCTTCACTGTGGAAATGTTACATGAACTTTTGATAGTCACAGAACAAAAGGCACTCTAAACGAAGGCATTTTCAAACACATTGCCAGGGACATCAGATAGATGGGTTACAGGAAAGTGGAGATATCTCTTCTGTAAGTCTCGGGTGCCATCCGATGCCAGGCTTAGCTTTAGGGCTGGTAGAGCTACCGGTCTGCTGAATGAATGCATTCCAATGGTTTTCCTTGTTAGATGAAGGGATGTTTGGTCAGATAAAGAGGTGGGTGACAAATGACCATGAAAGGGATTAAAGATAGCCCAAGATGATCTGCAACATTCCAGCATGTGCAAGTGCACACACACACACACACACACACACACACACCATACCTCACAATTTGTAGTCAGTCTACAGAAATCTTCAACGCAGGGAAGGCTTTGTGAGGCGTGCGTGTATAGGGGCTTCATTCCACGTTACCCTGAGGAGAGAAAAGTAAATATGAGGTCTGATAAATAGCTCCGTTCAAAGATGGGTTTTTTCTTCCAAATAATAATTTTGAGCAGGTACCTTTATATCCATAATATATTGAAATATGATAATGATATGTTTTGACTCATTTCTTTCTACTCCCAGAACTTGAAGCCAGGGAAGCAGAATGGTGAGTTTGAGGCTAGCCTGGGCTACATACTGTGATATTGACTCATAAAACAGAAGGAAGAAAAGAAGAAAGGAAGGAATGGAGGAGGAAGAGGGAAGAGAAAGCTCATTCATGTCAGACAGGGAAGCCTCTAGTTGATTTATTCCTTTCCTCATACTTTAAAAAAAGTTGCCTTTCCAGTCAGTCACAGGAAAAAAACCAACCTGATGGTTCATCTACAAAGCTAGCAGGAGAGAAGAGATTTATATGCAAATGAGGCTGAGGGGGCGGAGACCTGTCTGCCCTTCAGCTTGCATCCCATGGCTCTCAGTTAGTGGTGTGTTTATTCAATACCAACTGAACCTTTATGTTCACAATCATCTCTTCCTGGTTCCAGTCACTGTGGGGGCCATGACAGAACATTCTAGATGATTGTCTAAGAGGCTCCAGTCCACAGAAAGAAAAGAGAGCTTCAAGAGTTAACTCTCCTGCCATTGTCTCAAGAAATATTCATCTTGGTATCGGTAGTCAGAGATAAGAAAGGACCTGCAAGCATGGTAGATTTCAAGTGAATCCAGACATTAAAGGGTGGGGTAGGTGGAGGCAGGCAGCCCCGTCCCACCCCCAGTCTCACTACTCCTGAACTAGTCTATAACCTGCTCTGTAGCCCATTGGCCTCAAACTCACGATCCTCCTGCCTCAGCATCTGGAGAAAGCACACCACTTCCAAATACTTCTTCTGTCGTTGCCATTGGCAAACCTCTGAGCAATCAGCACAGAGTGTATCTGTTGAGGATCACACCTGCTGCAGCCTGCTCAAACCCCGTGTGTCCGTCCTGCCCTCACCAAGAACCTAATGTGTCTGTTCTGCTGAGCTCGTTCTGTCCTGGGTCCATCTATCAGACAGGAAGCAAACTGGACTCCTCTCTGACATTGCAGGCTCTCTGAGCTGTACATTAGACTCCCTTGCCTCCTCGGGCTCCAGGCATGGGGTTTCCCCTAGGTGCACCCTCTCTCCTGGCTTTGAAGTCATGGTTGCCTACTATGAACAGCCTAACCCTTAGTTCACAGGACTAATGCTGTCCTGTCCTGAGGTCTCTGCTTCCCAGAGGCTATCCTCTACGCCACCGTCTTTATCTCTTCCAGCATTTTGTACGGCCCAAGCCACATAGTCGAACACAGATGCGCAGAGCACGTAGAGACCCCTGTGCCATAGAACTCGGAGTCTCTGCTTAGTGCGGGACATCCTCCAGTCTCCATCTTTTGTCCTCGGGACAGCTATGGGACTCAACCAGGGCTCAGTCACCTGGGTGGATGGCACTGCCCAACGAAAGTGCCGACCTGCCCTTCTGTGGGGCAGTCTGCTTGGCACTGGGTGTGGCCCCGCTGTTCACTTTTGAACAAAAGGAATGCCCTTGGGCCCTGCATTCTTCCGTGATGCTCCTATAATTCTGGCTTTGCTCATTGGCAAGCTGCTCTCTGTCTATCTCTGCGCCCATACTACCAGGGCTACCTGATAGCCACTTTGAGATTGGGTTACAGAGGCGCCACGGCGATGCCGCCGGCATCAGTGACGGAGTCGGCAAGGCTGAGTGACTTGGTAGAAGTAGTTCCCTACTGGACTCCCCTTTGCCAGCTGCTTACCCTCCTGCTCGTTTTTATAATGAAAAAGGAAATTAATCCAGCTTCCAAGGATGGCGGCTCCAGAAATGGTAAGTAAGGGACCTAGGGGAGGGGGCACTTCCAGGATGTACTCTGAGGAACTTCCCAGCTTCCCCATATGGGACCTGCCAACCACAGCCTGCTTGGGAGAGGATACTCCCCCAAAGCATATTTTCCAGAAGCTTAGAATTTACTAATATTGTTTTTTTTAAAAAACAGGTTAGTTTTTAATGGTAAGTATCTCCATTTGGAATGTGAACATAACAGGTAGCCAGGAAGGAGGCAGACACAGATTCATTATTGGCTCTCTGGCCAGCCTTTTCGGGGAGGGGTCCGTGGACCACAGCCTTGGCAGAAGCAGATTCTTAGAGCACTTTGTTTGCACGATTGGGAGGATGACCTGGGACTCATCTGGGAGCACCCTACATCTCTGTGCTCCCTCAGACCTCTCCAGAAGTTCTCTATTGTGTGAAACAGAGCCCTGTGTGGGTTTGGCTCGAGGCTGAGGGTTTGGCCCTAGGTAGAGGCTCCTAGCCACTCCTCACTTGGCTGGGTGGCCTGGGTCCCCAGGGCTCGGATACTTTCATTTTCAATTAGGTCATGCTTGCACTGAGCCAGGAAAGGGCTGTGTTTGTGGGCTGCTACTAACAGCGTGATAGTGCCCCTTCCCAGGTGCTGTCTTCGTTTTGGGACACACAAATTGAGTATCGGAACATCTTATGTCTACGACAGGTAAATCCTATGGCTAGAAAGAAAAATCAAAATGTTGGACAGAGGAGGACCGTCATCCTGACGGTCACAGTTTTCTAAGGAACCACACAACGGTGACTTCTGTGTGACAAAGGGGCTTATCTCTAAAAGTGCCACTTGATTAGCTTTCAGAGTGGCCGCACAGAGGACGCCATCGGTGTCACTTGAAAGGAATTAAAATTCCGATTTTTTGTCAGCTCTAGAAGCCACTCTGCGATTTACCGTGGCCTAGAGAAAGTTGTGTTCTCAGTAGATAGATATTTGCGACAAACCCACAGGAGGTGTGGGCTTTGTGTCCGAGTGAAAGGATTTAAAATGGGACAGAGGCACCCCTGGTGCCCACACTTTCCACAGGGACCAACCCTGCTTACCCCTGGCTAAGCAGGTGGAGGTGGAGCCGGAACCCAACATCAGAGGCCCTGAGATAGTCACCATGGGGGAAAATGACCCTCCGGCAGCCGAGGCCCCTTTCTCCTTCCGATCACTCTTCGGCTTGGATGATTTGAAAATAAGTCCTGTGGTACCAGGTAGGTGGGCCTTTGGGATGCGGGCCTTTTCCAGAAGGGATGAGTGTGGTCAAGTGTCTGGGGCTGGGGGGTGGGGAGAATTACCCCCCCCCCCTGTATAGTCTCTCACTCTCCTACTCTCTCTTTCTCTCTCCTGTCTCCCTCTGTCTTTTTCTCTTCCCTTCCACATCCTTCTCTATGGTACTGGGGATCGATCTGGGCACTCTAGGACCTTGCCATGACTCCCACCCATCCTGAGTATCTTTCCATCACTGGCTGGACACTTCTCTTTCCTGATCTTGCAGAACCATAGAGTTAGAGGGTGCTAAGGAGGAGCCCCTTTGGCTCATGTACTTGCTAAGCCCTTGCAGGCAGTGTGTGTGTGTGTGTGTGTGTGTGTGTGTGTGTGCATGCGTTTGTGTTTAAACTCTCTTCTCTGGGGGCTGGGGGGGGGTGATCTTCAGAGACCCAAACTCCATGGTGGCTCTAGTTTACTCGGAAGAAGGTCAAATCCTGGCCAGGAAAACTATGACCCTCCAGGAAGTCCTTAGAAACAGTGGCCACCACCCATCTAGAAAATTCAGGCAAGCTATACATTACCGAAAGTTAAGTGCTGGGTTAGAAGGAGTGGTCCAGCCACCCAAAGAAGGAAAGCTGGCTTTATGAGTCACATACCTATGCGGGAAGCATTCTCCACTTGATGTCTGTGGCTATTCAGTCTTTGTGCTGAGAGCTGTCTGTGGCTTGCTGGTCCAGAGCGAAGTGTTCAGGAGCAACGGGAGTAATGAGCCCTGGGGCTGGGTGAGTCGGGGGACTTAGAGAGGTCAGGCTGTAGCTCTGAACAATGTGTATCCGGGATTCCCAAGGATTCTTTTTAAGCCATCTGGGCTGCTGAAAGTAGGAAAGACAAGGTAGAAGGAGTAGGCTTATGAATTGAAAAGACCCTCTGGGTCTATCCTCTGTGTGTGTGTGTGTGTGTGTCACACTAAGGAAATGCTAAGGCTTTACTGATACCCTTTCATTGGCTCTTCAGACTGCTTTCCTGTTTGCCACGTTCACGAATGTTGTCCTCCACAGGGTGTGTGGAGACAGGAGTCTGTGTACACCCATGGCAACGTTTAGGATACATTTCTGGAAGTGACATTACTGAGTCAAGAATTGTATCTGCTTTTAAGCTGTGTAGATACATCTCCGATCACACAAACAGGAATCAAAACATAACCCACTCCCCACCTGGTGCTGTGTGAGAAACCTGCCGTCCCTTCCACCGTGAGCATCAGTGGGTGTGGTCATAGAAAGTCATGGTGATGTTAGGGTGAAGTTAAGTCCATTTTTTTCTTTTGTTCATTTCTAGGGAGGTTTTCCTGCTTGCCTGTCCTTCTTGGGGCCTCTCTAGAGAGATACACTTTACACAACATCCCCCAGTTTGGTTTCTATTTGGTTTGTACTAGTAAGTAGTTCCCACAAGAGCTGAAGATTCCAGAGTCTGGGAACCCCAGTCCTTGAGAGTGACAAGCAGAACCATGACTGCTCAGATTTGGAAGCAGACATGATATTTACTGAACTGGGCATTCAGCTACTGGACAGCCTCATACTGGGGGATGGGGAGGACAAGTCGCCTATATGGTGGCTTCTGCCCACATGTGGCGAATGGCACAAAGGCTGAAGTTTGCTTTGTAGAGAAGAGCCAGCTTGGGATGGTTTGAGAGAGCCCAGTGACCTCCTTGCTTCAAGCACACCGTATAAAACCTCCACGTCCTATTTCCCTTGGGACTTGGGACTTCCTTTAACTGTTCTCCCAGGGCTGCTGGGACAATATGCCACAGCTGGGTGGCTCAGTCAACGGTCTTCTTGTCTTCCTTTTTGGCAGCCAGAAGTCTGAGATCCCTGATGTCAGTGAGGCCCCGTTGCCATGGATTCACACAGGAAGTTCCATGCCAGTGCAGATACGGGCCTTTGGCCAATAGCCTTGGGATTCCTTGAATTGTGGACGTAGCACTCTGCCCTCTGCCTTCATCTTCCTATGGATGTCTGTTCTACTAGTCTCTTATCTTTCTTCTATGCATGTCTATGTTAAAACTTGCCCCACCCCAAGGACACCAATCATACAAGATTAGCCATTGCCCTATGGGCCTAATCTTAACCTCTCTTCTCTATGGCCTCTAAGTAAGATCCCATTCTTGGCTGTTGAGAGTTTGGGTGTCAAGGGCTCCTGGTGAGGTTATTTTTCAGCCCACAGCAATGTTTCCTAAGCTAGGACACAGAGCTGGGTGAGGGAGACTGACCTAGACAACGTGGTCATTCATCTAACGAAGTCAGCTGCCTTGGGGCCAGTGCTTTCGCTGCACAGAGGGGACGCAGCACTCATGGCTAAACTTTTTAAGTTTCAACTCAGAACTGATGCTCCCCCGGCTCTCTTACACCCCTATCCCTTCGGTTCTCAGATGGAGATGCAGTGGCCGCACAGATCTTGTCCCTTCTGCCCTTGAAGTTTTTTCCGATCATCGTCATTGGGATCATTGCCTTGATACTGGCGCTGGCCATCGGGCTGGGCAGTGAGTACCATTTATTATTTAGTAGGTGTTCGATTACCTGTTCTGGCATTTAAACTTGCATGAGACCCCCCGGTCCCCAAACCCTTGTCCGTACTTACTGCTGCCTGGCCTTAATTACTGGTGGCCGGTGTCCTTTGGGTTTGATGGCTGTGGGTTTGATCATCCTGCATGAATGTCAGACCAGTGTGGAAATAGGCAGGGGCCGCTGGCTGGGCTCCAGGCTCTGCCACCAGGGTACCTGGCCGGTTAGAATTACTCAAAGGTAGCTGGTGAAACAGGACTCTGGAAAGGGAAGGAGGAGGCTGGGGTGGTGCAGACAAAGCCTTCCATTCAAGTCGTACCACACGCATTGGCTACTTTTATCGGGAGGTATGTAGGGCTTTTGAGAAAGTGGGTCACGGGGAGGAAGGGGTTCTCTTAGAGTCCAAAGTTTCTCATTATCTCCTTCAAGTAACTGCAACATTTTGCCTTCTGCTCAGCTGTGTATTCCACAGTTCATTGGCTCCGAGCCCAGAGATGAAAGGAAGCAGGGTGGTTGAGCGGTCTCAGTTGGGGCTCTTGCTGGGTCAGCTTAGCGCGTGGTCCCCAGCCATAGTTTCATCCCCTGAGAGTCTGAATGCACCCTGTCTTGTGATTCCTGGAGCTAGCGATACTGTGGTTGTGGCAGCCACGCTCCTTGGAGTTCAGGATAGACACTAGGGCTGAAGGAAACAGGCTGCGCTCAGGGTGTAGTTTCAATGTAGGTTTCATTATTGATGGGCAAGTTCAAGGCCACAGGGCTTGTATACTGCTGTCGGTACTGTGCACTGAAAGGGCCACTTGCTGGCATTCTCCCATCCCTTCCCTTTCCCCAGTTCACTTCGACTGCTCTGGGAAGTACAGGTGTCACTCGTCTTTCAAGTGTATTGAACTGACAGCCCGTTGCGATGGGGTCTCTGACTGCAAGGACGGGGAGGATGAGTACCGTTGCGGTGAGTCGTGCCTGTTCGCGGAAGGAAGTCACAGGGAGCGAACACCAGCCAGCACGTGCCCTTCCTGTCTGATGGACCCCGGGCATAGCCAGCGTCATGCCCTGTCCTCAGCAGGGATGTGCCTAGCTGGGTTCTTGGAGAACTGTTATACATCCAGTTGGGGGACCAGACGGGCTCTGAGTTGGGGGTGGGAGGGGCTTCTTGTGGGGGAGGAGCTACGGGTGGGAACAGGTCAGGTTAGAAGAGAGAGTGGGTGGAGCAAGCGTGACTGTCCAGCCTCTGCCTGGCCTCTGCCTCTTCTGGTAATCACTTCCCTTCCCCACCATGCCTGGCCAGTGCGAGTGAGCGGCCAGAGAGCAGCGCTCCAAGTGTTCACGGCCGCCGCATGGAGGACCATGTGCTCAGACGACTGGAAAAGCCACTATGCCAAGATTGCCTGTGCCCAGCTGGGGTTTCCCAGGTGAGTCAAGGCCACCGATGACAAGGATGACAGAGCAAAAGCAGCCTGCGATGGCACAGTCTAGAGCTCTCTAGATGCTTTGACGAGTCACGCTCTGTTCTTAGAGCAACCTTGTGACACGAGGAGCTGTGCTTCACAGGGGAGCGAGACAAGGCCCAACCAACCAGCGAGGTGACTCCAAGGCACACAGAACATCATCTTTGAAGGGAGTTCTCAGGGCTAGGCTAGGACCTTAGATGCAAAAGCCATTTTGACATTTGGAGCCAAGGCTGGGGCTCAGTTGGTAGCACTCTAATCTGGCGTGGCCAAAGCTGTGGTGCTGTTCCAGCGCTCCAACAGCCAGGGACGGTGACAAGTGTAATTCCTATACAGGGGAGGCAGAGGAGGGAACAAAGGGAGTTCTAGCTTGAGCTAAAAAGTGAGTTCCTGTCCAAAAAAAGACAGATGACAGACGACAGACAGACAGACAGACAGACAGGAAAACAGTAACAGAAAGTAAACAGTTCATGCGCCCAGGGTGGAAAAATAAATACTCTGGTTCGATGCTTTGCAGCTCAAAAAGCAGATGCTGGGAGATTTGCACGGGTTTGTGCTGGTCACATCACTTTCTACATGGCAGCAGCATGCTTTAGCCCAACCGAGGGCCCTTCTCCATTGCTACTGACTCCTGACCCCTGCCTTGCTTCCCTAGAGGCCATCGATACTGTAGGTCACAGTTTACCACAGGCAGGTTCCCAAGTTCCTACACTTGTCTTAGGAGCCGAGCAAGATCGACGGTCACAAACTCAGACTTATACCCTAGTTTCTTTTCTAACCCAGGAAGCAGGGTCCTTAAAACGACATGGCTACATACACCTTCTGTACAGGATCTAAACCAGTAGGATCCTAGATACCCCTGCAGCTGAGGTTCCCCCAGGCCTGGCTCCTCTGTATGCTGCCATGCCTGCTTGGGTTCTGAAACCAGCTGCAACTGAAATGCAGTGACAGCTGCGAAGGTTACTAAGAGACAGTGTTGAGAATTAGGTAGCTTTTCTCCTTAAAGGAAGCCACTCAAACAGCACAAAAACCACGCACGTATGAATACACGCACGCACGCACGTACGTACTATGTAAGTACGTACATACGCACGTATGCACGCACAAGCCAGCTCAAATCTCCGTGTAGATTCAGGCCGGTCTTGGGAGGCGTGCTGCATTTCCTCCCTTAGAATGGATAATAAGCGTCCACCTTAAAAGGCCTTGGGAGCTCTGTGGTCATGGGGTGTAGTGACCATGGTCACGAGGTCGCTGCAGCTCTGAGGTGACCTGTGGGCTCCGTTTGTGACACTGAGACTCCCTTTGCCCCAGATCATTTGCTCTGCCCATCTCCCCACGACCCAGCATCCCAGCAAAAGCAGGTTCCTTCACACCAAGGCAGCCTACTGTAGCCTTCCCCGGGGAGGAAATGCCTGGCTAATATCTGGATGCCATTTTCCTCAAACACGTGCTTGGCTGAGTACTGCACCGCACTTAACATGAGTCCCAGCGGCATTAAACAGCATTTGGGTGCTACCCTGGGTGACAAACTGCTGGGTTAGTGAGAAGGTGGCACCTGCATACACTCTGCTCCCCGCCTTCCTTGGGGACTCCTTAAATTCTTCATTTTTCCCCCTTCTCTATGGCTGGGTTTGTGCTCAGCCGTTCCACCCTATTCTACTTTCTTTAAATCTCTCTTTTGCACCACATCTGTATACCCCTGTTTCCTGGCATTGAGCTCATTTGCCCGGTCCCGGGGTCCTTAAGCCACTACCTTTTATGACAGTGCTAGGCAAAGTGGAACTGGCTCTCAAACGACCCCTTACCCTCAGGAGCTAGACATCTAGCTGCCCCACCCCCACCCCCGAGGCAGCCAAATCAAGAGCATCAGAGTGAGGTGGGCAGGGACCACCTAACTGTGGCAGGAAGTGGTCTTTCTTTGTGGCTGGAGCTGGGTGGGTGGCCAAGCCAGGCTGCAGACTGTGGGTCAGCAAGCCACACCTAAGCTAGAACACCTAGCTTATTTTATCAGGAAAATGAAGCCGCTGGTGACTTGGGAAGAACCAAACGAGGTCCCCAAAGCTTGTAACCTGGTGAGTGGGAGTGGGTGGCTGGTATCTCAGTCACCGTGACGGTTGGGTTTCCAATGTGCCTGCAGCTATGTGAGCTCAGACCACCTCAGAGTGGATGCGCTGGAGGAGCAGTTACAGGGAGACTTCGTGTCCATCAATCACCTCTTGCCAGATGACAAGGTGACTGCGTTACACCACTCTGTGTACATGAGGTAAGCAGTTAGACAGACGTACTGCTTTCTACACCGGAGCCAGGCCACAGGCTGGGTTTGGGAAGCTGAGGTGTACTCTGTGAGGGGAAAGAACGTCACCTCCACAAGCAAGGGTGGAACTCACTGCTGTAGTTAGAGTCTGCATAAGCTGGCGAACACGGATGGATGCCAACCCCGGAAAGTGTGGTTCAGTGGAGGGAGGGAAGGGAGCACAGTAAAGGAGCAGCAGTGACAGGCAGGTACGCCATCAGGCCATTGCTGTGCCTGCCTCACAGCAGGAAGTGGTGTGTGTATGTGTGTGTATGTATGAGTATATATATGAATGTGTGTGTATGGTGGTGTGTGTGTGTATATATGTGTATATGCATGTGTGTGTGTGTAATGTGGTGTTGTACATGTGTATGTATGTGTATATGTATATATGCATATGTGTATGTATGTACATATGTGTGTATGTGTGAGTGTATATATGTGTGTGT